GTAAGAAGAAATACACGAAAATCGTCATGATGACAACCCAAAAGGCGAAGAAGAGGAAAAGCCCGAATTTCAGGTGGCAGAGCATCATGAAGAACACTTGAGCGATTATGAACGTGAAGATCATGTTGACGGAAACGTTGATACTCTGGGCGGCAGATCGGATCTCGAGGGGAAAGATTTCACTGGGTACGAGCCATCCTAGTGGGCCCCACGACCATGCGAACCCTGCAACATATGTGCATATGAAGAGCACCACAACTATGGCATACAATTTGGACAAATGGCCCGGATCTCCGTTTACTCCGAATTTGATCGCTATGAAAACCGCAACGACAACCTAATCCAAAAAAAAAAATTAAAAATTAAAATAAAGACATAATATATGCCACATTGGCATCTCAAAATGTATTGCAGAATTGTATAATACAACTCTGCAATACATATTGGGATGAATTAGTGGGAGGGTCGATTGTCGATTTTACTGAATGACTATGAAGTTGCATACAAACCTGACAAATGAGCATCTGAGTGCCTCCTTCGAGGAAAAGAAATATGCGTCCCCATTTATCAACACCGTAAATCGAAACACAAGTTGCTAGGACGTTTACGGAACCGGTAATCACAGCAGACATAAGCGAAGCATCGCTACCAAAACCGATGGTTTTGAACAAAACCGGAGCGTAAAACATAATAACGTTTATCCCAGTCAGTTGTTGGAAAAACGGGATCAATATAGCCATAGTCAACTGCGGCCTGTATTTCTTTTGCAACAAATTCCTCCACGGATGTTCGATCTTCCTCGATTCTTCACTCGCGTGAACAAGATCATTGAACTCCTCATCTACATCATGAACCCCTCGAATTCTACGAAGCTTCGTTTTCGCCTCGTCACTCTGACCTCGCTCAATCATCGAGTTAGGGGTTTCAGGGAGGATCAGGGACCCTACAGTAATAATCAACGCGGGGACCACCGCACCCCCGAGACTCAACCGCCATCCCAAATTCCCGTCCAGCATGTTGAATAAATAATTCAACACGTTCGCCACCAGGATTCCAATTGTGATCGACAATTGGAATCCGATATTGAGCGACCCTCGGTATTTGTACGGTGCCATTTCCGAAAGGTATAGTGGGACAGACTGCAATTTTTAAAACAAAAAACATATTTAAATATATTTTTTATTGTTTATATTTTATATAAATATATTGGGTTTTTTAAAGGGTGTCATTGTCAAAGTCTATTTTTTCAAGTGTTTATTAAATTACATTACCTCACCAGTAGGACCAAGAATCTTACCCGGTAAGTGAGGACGACGATTCTTACCACGCTAAGCGCCTAATGGATGAATTGATGCATACAATGTTGTTTTGATGGACTAAAATCTTACCCAGTCAGTAAATAATAATGTTAAATTTTACCGGTAAGCACTTACAGGATAAGTGTTTGATAAACGGCTCTTTAATTAAAAAGGAAAATTAATTTTTTAGATATAGGAAAATTAATTTAAAAAAATACCTGATTGGCAAATCCGATACCAAACCCGAGAAGGATCCGACCAACAATAAGCATCCAAACGGCCTGAGCAAAACCGTTAATCATTGCGCCGGCGCAAAACAATACACCGCCGAACAACATCGAAAGTTTCCGGCCAAGTTTCCGAGTCACCGTCGACGCCACCAACGACGACAACAACGCCGCCAGATACAACGACGACGTAAACATAGTCAACGTCTGACTATCAAACTTACAATACTGGTTCGTCGACGTATCCACCAACTGTTTCCGGTACACCGACGGGAAGAACTTCTTCAAAAACGGATCCATCGCCGTCACTCCACCTGACGTTTCACAAAACAAAAATCAATCAATCACCAAAAAACCCAGAAATCATACGATCTTAAGAAACCCTAAAAACACAAAAAAAAAAAAAAAAGACGATAGATTTCAGTTTTCCAAAGATCATGAAACATGATCGGWAAAATCAAGAAACTACGTCGGAAAAGTTCCATTATTACCGGAGATTCCGATGTCGTAACCGAAAATGAGACCACCCATGGCTGCAACAACACAAGTGAAGGTGACATAAAGAGTGAGGTTCCCGGGGTAAGCTTTATCACCGCCGGGAAAGGTTGGAATTCCACCGCCGGGAAAGGTTGGAATTCCACCGCCGGCCATAATGGCGATGACTTTTTTTGGTTTGAAAGTGTGGGAGATAATGATGGGGGTGTAGAAGAGAAAGTGCAGGTTTGAAAATGAAGGTGAAAGAGAGGATTGTATGAGAATGGTCAGTGTTGTTTATATAGAGGTTTCTTGAAGGGGTTTTCTAACCCCACCCCCGGTAGGATTGTAAACGAACTGAACGAACACGAACGGAGGCTTGTTCATGTTCGTTCGTTTAATTTAACCGAACAAACGAACGAACACGAACGGTAAACGAACGAAAATCTTTGTGTTCGTGTTCGTTCGTTTAGAAAT